AAACGCAAGGCCCTCTCCAGGTACACAGGACCCTCCCAAGTGAAGCTTTATGACAGGGGCTGTCAGACAGCTGTGCCCCTTGCCCTACAGAAGGAACCCAAGGACATGGTACAGCTGGCAGACACAGGATGCCAGGGTTTGCTGTTATATACGAGTTTTAGTTCTATAAATGATTGATCCTTCTTGCCTGTCTTTCTGATGATTATCAGAGGCCGACACCCTGACTAGGTTAGTCTATCAGATGCTCATTTAGCACCTACTAAGTGTCAGATGGTGTTAGTCATAGTGGAAGAACAAAGCCAGAGAAATCATGTTCCTCCCCACCTTCCCTTACTGTCCCCTGCCTTTGCAGCGCTCCTAAGCTCTGGCTCTGAGCCTTGGGGTTCTCTGCAGCCTGGAACTTGGGGTGGGAGAAGACCTTGAGAGGCCCTGGCCCACATCCAAACAAGGAAACTCAGGTTTGAAAAGTCAAGCTGTGTTGTGTATGTAAAGCTGTGATTCATTCACTTCTGGAGTTCTGTGAAGTCCTTATATTTATCTACATTTTAAAGATAAGGCTTAATTGGCTAATTTGCCCAAGGGTGTTTGCAGGGGAAGAGCACAACAAGGATTGTGTACACAAAATCTCTGTCTGATCCTGGGCATGGGAAACACAGATACCCAGGGCATGAAACTTTTCCTGAAAGAAATAGGAGAGAAATCTTTGCCTAACGTACGGTATTACTGAGATTCTCAAGCACATGCCAAGTATAACACACTGTTTAAATGTGTGTGGGTGTTCTTCTCCCTTTAACCAGAAAGAACTGGGGTCTTAGCAGAAGCAAATCTAATCCAGATTTTACTTTACACTTTCTGTAAAAGACAGTTTAGAAATATGGTAAGACGCACAGCCTTTTATTTGTTTGTTTATTTTTAATGTGGTGGAGGTGGTATTGGGAATTGAACCCGGGCCTTCCCACTGACCCACATCTTGGTAAATTGAGATCTTCCGGCTTCAGTCTCGAGGACCACCTCATGTGCTACCATACCTGGATATATAGGAATGATTGTAACATGGCCTTTTTGATAGTACAAGTAATAACAAAACATAAAAATGAAAACTGTGCCTCACTGTAGTGCATCCTAACCCTGATAATCTGCTTGCTCTTTGAAATCTTTCTTCAGCATTGTTAGTACTAGGGTTGTTTTTTTGGGGTTGGCAGTCTTCAGTTTTCATTTCTAACAACTAAATAATGTTTAACTTTTCTCACTGAAAAAATGCTTTTCTTCAAGGAACTGGGCAACCCATGATCAACAGTGAAAAAATGTGTGTCTTAGTTTTGTGATAAAGTCCACACTTTTGGGGGTTGTTTTTCTGTATCAGTGTGACCAACATCCACAGATTCTCTGTGTAACAAATTTGTTCTTTAAAACTGTTTTTCCTTACTGTTTGTTTATAACCTATTTACTGTCTGGTAAAGGAGAGCCTCCAACACCTTGTTTTCCTAGGGCATTTATTTCCCCTTGTACTGTGCCACTGTTTGAGCTGAGGGTGTGGAGTTTGTGTCTGTCTGAGGCCCAGGTCTCCTAACAGTCCTACTGAAACAGTGAACATTGTCCCACTGGATGGAGAGCGTCCAGACTGTTGATTGGGGGCAGGGAAGTAGGGAGTTTTAGTGGTCTGTTCTTCGTCACCCTGATGCATAAAAAAATCGAGGGAACTGGGGACCATGCACTGCTGCACGTGGGTGCCCAGGTGAGGGGCTGTGGGGAATCTGCAGAATGATCTTGGCTCTGAAAGCTGGGGCGCACTGTGCTGAGCTTGTCTCCTGTGTGGCACAGATTCCCTTCTTAAAGGACAGTCCTTTGTCTGGGTTGTTCCAGTGACAGTCTCCTAAATGGAGACTCCTGAAAACGTGCTTTCAGTGAAAAGTTGGGTGTCTGGAGGTCAAACAGTAAGGTTCACTCATTGTAAAGTTGTTTTAGAACAATGATACATTTTTGATGCAGGTGTGAGTTATAAAAGGTGGGTGTAGCCTGTAAACCTTCACCGAGCTGTGTACTTAACTGCAGTGAAATGTTTAAAAAGCAGCATGTGGAATCTTTAAGAATCCTGGAGCTTATGAGACTCACTGATATATTTTACAGCTGCACACGAGGTGCTACCATTCACTACCCTAGAAGATAGACTGCTCTGGGTGCTCACTCTGGCTACATTTAACCAAATATGCCTCTGATTTTCCTTCTTCAGGATATTCACAAACCACAGCTTCCCATAAGCAAAAATATAAAATAGTCCCACTTAATATTTTCTTATCTCTAACCCCATACACAATAGCAACTTTTGGCAAGTAAAACTAGAAGTCTTTTATAAAACAACACTGGGTCTGGGAAGTAAAAATTCTAAATTATAACACATGGAGGGCCAAGGAATAAAGGAAAACTCAAGAACCACTGACTATTAATATGCTTGGACTATTCCAGCCAAATGGCTTCAATGCTCTTTTTCATTAATGTACTCTATAACAGTCATACGCTGTTTTACGTTCGTAACATCTCATGGCTTTCTACCCCTGGGTACCTGCTCAGAGCTGACATGATCTCTGAGAATTCATTGCTGCTATGGAAATTTAGCCCTTTAAATACAATTAAAATGGCAAATAACAGACCTTCCATAATCACTAATGACCCCCCTCAGTTACCAGTTTCTGGGGCTCTGTTCATACCTTTTAAAGAGCCACAAGATGAGTTCAGAAGGGTGCATTTGTAGCCTTGGGGTCAACTCCAGAAAAAGCCCTCTTTGCCCTTCAACAGCACACTTCATGCATATTCATGAAACATTCAGCGTCATTTCCTTCTCAAAGAGCCCAACTTGCACCCTGAAGCTACAAGAATAACAGGAGGCTGGTGGCACTCAGGACCTACCAGTTTCTCGACTAGGAAGCCAAGAGGCACTGGCCTCCAGCTAAGAGAGCTGCACCACGGAGACCTTAAGATCACACCCTTGCCTTTCCTAGGTAGAGTTTCTGTCTCTCAACATGAAAACACAAAGACACAGTAGCCAGGACTACCCTCCACAGGAGGCATGATGATTCCCTGAGGACATCAAGCCCCACACTACATGGGGGCCACAGAACAGCAGACTTGGAAGCAGTTCACAGTGTAAATGAGCAACTCCTGCCCACTCACTACCATTCCACCGAAGCTACTTTGCTAGGAACACTTTGCAGCTCTCTACTTTCCAAGGGCTGGAAAATTTTTCATAAGGCTGAAGACACAAATTTAATGCCTTGCTGTGCCTAAAATGTTAAGTGTGCTTATGCAGTCACTTGTCCACCCGACAGAACCACACAGTTAATGTAAAGAGGATATAATCTGCTCACACTCCAATTATGACAGGCAGACACATTTCCACTGGAAAGATCACATCTTATTTATGCTGCCAATTAAATCGTTAGGAAAAAAAAAGAACACCATCTTACACAGTTAATTCACCCTAATTGATGTATAATGGGTCTTACATAGTATGTGGATAAACTCCACGTGGTAAAGTTTTAACAGTTTTAGAACAAAAACATCAGCCTTATTCTTGACGGTAACCAGTCACTTCCAACTATGCATTCTGGGACCCTGAGTTTCCAAAGCATGAACTATGGATATAAGTGATCAAAGCGAAAAGAACTTTCAAGCCAAAGGCTTCAGGTGCCACATCATGATTCATTTCCCAGTGAAATGCACAAGCAACCCAATTCAACTTCCAAAGGTGCTTTCAGGGTTTGTTTGTTTTGTTCTGTTATTTTTTAAATCTTGGAGAAGTCAAAACTTTCGGAGGCACAGGATGCCAATACATGCCAAAACTCAGGTTTGTTCATTGTTCTTGCTTTTAATACCTCCCATCATTGGAGAATTTTGACAATTTTTTCACAAACATCCACAAAACCAGATTGTTGTCAAGTGTCCACCTTCAAGAAGGCTTTCAGAAATTACTGAGTAGAGAAAGCGACCATTAGTGGATAAACTTGCCACCAGACAGGTGCCAGGGAGGGGCCTGGGCAGGCGGGGTCTCCCGGCTCCAGGCCACCGCCCCACTCCCCAGCCCGGGATCCCAGGTGAAGAACAGGAGGTCCGCACCAGGAGAGGAGGCGGAAGCAGGGAGCCGCTCACCAAAGCCAGCAGCAGCCCAACCCTCACATAAACCATCTCAGGACCTGAGCTGCGGAGTGGCTGTTTCCTTCCCTTTTTTTATTATTTTGTTCTTTTGAAAAATCTTATTGCTTACTTTTGAATAAAAAACATATGTCGTTTTGCGTTTAAATAGTTCATTTAAAAGTAGAAAAAAGCGCTTTGCAAACACCTTCACATTCCCGCCACCCACAGAAACGTCCAAGGAACTTACCCTCAAGTGTTTATTAATGGGTTTTAAAGCCTAGTTAGGCCCATAATGCGTAATTGGGGTCGTGCTGAGTACATGATTTGGGATCTTGCAGCTGTTTGTTTCTTAACTTGGCCTAATGACTTTTCTATTTCCCCCCAAGTGGTTACAAACTACTTGATAAAAGATCTAGAACAAACACAAAAGCAATTTTTTTTAACTCCATTACCGCAGTTGGGCTAGTCTGACTCTATACTGTTTTGTTTTGTTTTTTAAAGAAAACCGCACTTTTCTTAAACTTCCTCATCTCTGCGCCAATTTCTGCAAGAAAAAAGGTACCACACCAGAAACCCTCCCCCTCCCCCAACCAGGTCTCCAGAGCGCTGCAAACGCAAGCACTGCGCCCCGCCGCACCTCCTGCCAAGGCGCCCAAGGGGTCTGCGTCCGCTGCGGTCCCGACCCCGCCACTCGAGTCCCAGTGGCCGGACGGAACTGCGGCGCATCCCTGCTGGGCGCAAACGCTCCAGCGCTCGCGGGACGAGCACGCGCAAACCTCAGCGCCCGGCCAAGGGCCACGTTTCCAGTCCCAGGCCGAGGGCTGCGCCCGGGCATTCAGGAAAAGCAGCCATGGAGGCGCCCAGACCCTCACCTGGGAGCGAGTCGCCAACTCCATCTTCCTAACCGGGCTCCAGCTTCCTCCTAGCACGTGGCCGCGGGGGCCTGGCTGACCACGAGCTTGGCGCAGGGAGAACGGCCTGGAGCCGTGCGGCCAGCGCGCTCCGCCCGCAGCTCAGGCGGGCCAGGGGAGGGGCGCACTGTGCGCCCCGGACGGGGGGAGCGCGCCGCACCGCCTGCCCGCCGCCGCCTCGCCCGGCCTGGAGCCGCGGGCCTCTGACCCACCTTTGCGACCCGTGTACTTCGCAACCCAAGCGGCTCGAGAGCAGGCTACTGTGGTGCGCGGCGGGAAGAGCGGCCCGGGGCGAGCGCGCCGGGTTCCCCCCTGCAGCGAAGGCTCGGAGTGGAGCGGTCCGGCCGGGGTTCGCGCGGGAGAGCTGAGAAGGGGGCTGTCCCGGCTCGGCCTCCAGCTGGCACGCCCCGGGCTCGCTCGCCGCAGGCTTGCAGGGCGCCGTCCAACTCGTGCCTTGGAGAGCGAGCCTGGACTGCGAGCCTAGACAGCAGTCCGCGTCCCTGACCCACGGAACACTTTTCAGACGACTTTAGAGTTTGTTTGTCGTGTGGTGTAAAGGGGTGGAGTCTGCTACCTCCTAAAATGTTCGCTACTCTCTTCACTTTGCAAAACTGGCAACCCAAGTTTTCAGAGCCCAGGGTAGGGAGCTGCAACCCCCTACCCTGAAACTGTAGACAGCCTGGTGCGCAGATCCGTGGCGCACTCTTCTAGCGCACTGTAGGCCTCCACCTCAACTAGACGGTTCCAGAGTGGCGCCCACCACCTACCAGGCACTGGGGTAGATCCCGAAACAGCCGATGAAAGAATATCCGACCTCTGCTGTGTTGGAGTTCATGATCGGGGAGCCAGTTACCAACGGAATGATATAAGTAACTGTGTTAATAAATCACATAATAGTGATAATTGTATGATTTTATTACAGTGATAATGAGATTCATTGATCTGATTATAACCACTGATTAATAATGATAAATATAATAATAAAGGTGCATATTGGTGCAAATGTGATGTTAGATGCCACAAGGAAAAATTAAGTGATACTAAGGTGGCATTAAATAGCCAATTTAGTGAAGGAGAAGACTTCTTAGAGCTCATGTAGGAAGCAGAAAAAATTAAAAGATACTGTGGATGTAGGTAGGTGGTGGGGAGGCTGGCAAATGAAGGCCTAAAAGCCTGGTTAGCACTGAGGTCTTGAGTTCGAAGAACAGTTCAGAGTGTAAGAAGTAGGCCATTTACTCAAGCTTGAAGAAAAACCACTTAGAGATGGACCTCCTTGCTAAACTCTTGCTAAACTGAATAAACACATGTTATGTTTTTACTGTTAAAGACCCCAAGGGTACCAAGACTAATAAAACATTATCTGATTTAAGAAAAAAATTATTTTATTGGATAATGTAAATTTTAATTATAGCTTTCATCTTTATTATAGAGGTTTCCTTCACATACAGTATCTCCTTGAACCTCTCAACATTCTTGCAGATTCTTACTGTCCACACTTTTAAAATAAAGACTCAATTCCAAGAAGGTACTTCAAGAGAAAAACCATTGCCACCCTGCCAGTAAGTAACAGCAGCAGGCTGCCAAACTGGAAACCACTTTTTCTGCTTCCAGAGCCAACATTCTTTCCATTTTCTTCACTGTTGCTTGTGGGCTGCCAAGAAGCTGAAAGTGAAATTCATTTAGAAGTCTTCTCCCCACCACCACCGCTCCATGATTTAATGATTTTATGTGCATTTATTTCTCTTCTTTGTAACGTAAATCCCTTTTTAAAATGGAGTACCATTCTTAAGCAGGTTGTAGATTTCGCAAAGCACTTGAAGCAGCCTTGCTCAGCTATTATTTGGAAACTTGAAAGCTTTAGAAATCTGCCTTAACCAACCCTAAGTCTTCAGGTAACAGTCCAGAAACTTACTTCCTGTATCCAGCAAAACCTATGCACTCAAACAATGTTTTATAATCGGGTCCACAGTGATGTGTTTTGCTGGCAGAATGAAGGCCCCTCACAGAAGCAACACCGTACCTATTTCAACAGGGGACAAGTGACACAGAGAGTGTGAATAAATTCCTTCAAGAAGCCTCTGTCCAGCAGTTTATTACTTTCCTTTAAAATGTTTGAATGAGAGAACAAGGCACTATCTTGAACAGGTACCCAATCTGTGATTCAAAGCTGTTAAGAGTTAAGAATGTACCACTCCGAAGAAGAAGAAAATGCCACGCCAAAATATGTTGCCCTGATGCACTGATGTTTTTTGTGTAATGATAAAAGTAGCCTGTGCAAGAGCACATTGACCCTCGTACTGTTCCTTAACGCTAAAACTCCCTTGTGAAAGATGCCTCCTATCCCAAAACGAAAGCAACACTATCAAAACCAGGAGACTGAAGTCTGGGAAAGTCTGTCCAGACCACGCGTGTTAAACTCACTCACAGATAGCCACTTCACCCCCCAGTTAACTACCCTAGCCAAGGCCTTTGCCTTATTATATTTTCATGTGTTCAATTTTCACTGCCTTTTAGGGTCTACATTTCCTTAGGATGACTTCCATGACACCCAAAACTTGTATGGAAATAAATATGTACAATTTTCTTCTAGTAATCTATCTTTAACTCTGGGGCCCAGCTGAAACCTGGAGAAGGTGGAGGTGGAGTTTGGGCTACACTACAAAACTGACATTGAACCTGCTTTACGTGAGGAGAGACAGTTGTGATTGGATGTCAGCCTGACCCACAATGGGCGCTTTGTACAAGGAATCCACACCTCTCTATTCTCACTTGGTGCTGCTCTTCCTACAGTATAGTTGTGATAAAATTTTCAATCTATCTTTTGTAAAAAGTCTGCTTTGGTGCTCTGGATAACTTAGAAAAGAATCCACTTTTGTTAGAGAAGCAAGGTGGATAATACCTGAATACTGCCTGGCGTTACATTTGATTATTAAAGTGACGGTTACGCTCAGTAACACCCTGGTTGTTCCCTGTCTTCTGGTCTCTTGAAACTTGCACTTCATTGTATTGTAATTAGCCTAAAAAAGAGATACCGTTCTATATGAATGAATTCCACATTCGCTCCTCAGAAATAGTGCTATGGAAAGAAATGAAGTAACATTTGCAAAACATTCGGGATTTCTTAGAGATCCTATATAAATGCCAAATATGACTAATATATATTTCGCTGGCTTTTGCAATGTATGTTATACTATTTATAATTTAGTCTAAAATACTAAATGATTTTAATTAGGCACTGACAACAACTAGATGAAAACAGATTTTGAAACAGGCTCTCACTGTGCAGTTTATACCAGTCTTGAATTCATTTGTATCCCAGGCCAGCCTCAAAATCACAGTGATCCTCCTGTTTCAGCCTCCTAAGTGTCAGAATTAGAGGCATGTGCCACCATGCCTGGCCCAGGAAAGAAAAACTTGAATGTTTCAGTTATGATTAGTACTCATAATAATTTGTTAACCCTGATTCACAGCAAATGGCAAACAATAGAATGTCTTGGACCATCAAATGGAAATTTGGGAATCCGAAGTGTAAATCTTCTCTAAATAGCTGCCTCTGCAAATATTTTGTAGAAATTGTAGTGTTGGCGGGGTGGGGGAAGGGATCTACTACCTTTCACACTTTGTGAAATGTCCAAAGTTGTTACCCTTATCCTTTTTCATCTGGAATTATCACATATTTATATGCCAGAAATAGGGAAGGATCACATTTGTGTGGACTTGAGGCATTTGAGGGTTGATTTATTCCTTTGAAGTTGCAAGCAGGTCTAAAAACCTCCTCCAGTATAGTTCGGTGGGTGCAAAGCCTGGTCTAGCTAAGACCAGCAAGACCAGCATGCCTGGAATAGTAACCAGAAATTCCCAGTCGTGTCCCCGCCCCAAACCTACTGAACTGTGGAGGTCAATCACTGACCAAGTGATTCTGATCCTGGCTCAAATATAAGAACCCCTGTGGTTGTAATCCAGGGTCTATCGCTCACTAACTGGCTGGGACTAATGCTTAAGCTTCCTTTTTTAAATCTGTAAAATAGGAACATTACATAAAGTGCCAAGCCAACTCAGTGGCATTTTTTGGTATAAGAGGGAAATGGTTCTTATTTTCTAATTGCCAAGTGAAAATGTTGTATATTTATAGTGTACAATCTGATGTTTTAATGTATTCATCATGGATAGATGATCAAAGCTATTTAACATACGCATTAACTCTCATATTTGCCCTTTTTATGGTAAAAACCCTTAAAATCTATGCTTAGTAATTTTCTAAGATGTATTAACTGTAGTCACTACAATGTACAATAGATCCTCCTGTGCTTGTTTTTCCTGTTTAACTAAAAGGTTGTGGTCTTTGACCCACAATCCTATTCCAACAACTCTCAAGGTGTTCTCACAAAGATGAGCACGTACCCTCATAGAGGACTGCGCCTGAGAGCGCCACCATGTCAAATACTTATAAAGTGGCGTGAGAGTGGTGACCCTTCCATTCACTGAACATTCATCGTGTTCCACAACATATCCGTATGTTCTTGCACTCAGCCATTGCCACAAGCATGTGTTGTGAATAATATCCCCAGTTTCCAGTTGACAACACTGTAGCTTTGAGGGTTTATGAGATCCTGTGGTCTTCAAGGAGACCCCGCAGAGCTCAGCTCTACAGCAGATGGACTAAGTGTAGTAGGCGCAGCTGTCATTTCTCACCTTTCTGGCTATATTCAAGTAACATGAGACAGAGGGCAGATAAAATTCAAATTTTAATTGAAATAAGTCATAACTAGGTTCCTTACATATTTCCATCCTAATATAACTTATTTATTGTGCCTATGACTGTGATTCTCCCTGTTTCATAAAGTGATTATTTTTCTCTTGCTTACTTTTAGCGAGTGTTCCTTAGCTCACCACCCATCTCTCTTTTCTAAAAGGCTGTAGGCTGGACTCGAATATGGTGACATTTGTCCAAAATGGTTACTCAAATCGGGTAGTCTGATAGTACCTTTAACGTCTTTCAGAACTAACCTTTTCCTTATCCTGTCTGTATTCTCTTAAGCTTTTGAGTCCAAACAAGCTCCTGACCTTCCTAACTCTAGCCCAGCCTCAGAAAATCTCTGAGGTATAAAACTCAAGCCTGATCTTAAAACTGGGTAATGAAACCAATCATTGTTAATTGCAATCTGGGCTCAGTACAAATCACATCAGCTGGCTACTCTGCTCTCCATGGTAAAGCAGAATTGTCACAGAGTACCATTGCCAAGCACAGCCTTGCCAACCAGATGTCATAAACAAGAGGTGAGCAGTTGCAGTGCTGACAAAGATCACTGAAGTGTATGACGTTACATTCAATCTGTTTTTGAAACAAAGCAATATATCAGCTCCCCTGCCTCTTTTCCTGTGTGACCTCCACCCTTGTCTCTCCTCTCATCTTTCTCCCTGAACACTCATCATGCGGTTTACATAGGGGAGCTTACAGTTCTCCACAGGAGCAAAAAGGGCTTAGGGGATTCTTTTTCACCTAAGGAAGCATAAAGTTTGCAATTCCATTAGGAAAATTGGTGTATGTGAAGGCTTAGACAGAAATCTGTCATACTTCAAATATGAAACAAGTTTCCACAAAACGTTAAGAAAAGCAAAAACAAACAAGAAATCAAAGCAACAACAACAATAATAATATATTGAATTTTACTTTACTGGTAATTTCCGACCCTTTCCTGCCTAGGATAATATGCACAGCTGAAAGTCATGTTCAAAGAGTGGATAAACAGCCCTTTGGTGCATTACAACCAAAAAGAGACTGAAAACTAAAATAAACCATTCACTGGCGATCATAAACTTATCTTTGGCTTTCTA